GCCAGACCTAATATTCCTGAAAGTAAATAAATCCTGTATAGATGGAGAAGAATGTCCAAGCAATTTGAAACATGGAAACAATAAGGATTGCATCAAATGTTAATCAAAGAGAAGGCTGGAAGTGTTTCCCAAATCAACATATGAAGTAATAGGCTCGCTAAGCTTTAAAGCATCGAATAGACTGGGTAACATTAAACGTAAAACTGGATGGACAAACAGTTGACGCTCCATCTAATCCTCACAACACAATTCCATTTATACCAGAAGAATTTCATCAAAAATAACCATTTGAACTGATATTTAACCGAATATCAATGTGTGTAAACCAATGTTCTGAACTACCTCACAATTTATGCCATCAAACATGTTGAATTTTTCCAGTAACAGTACGAAATGGCATCAGAGATGCCATTGGAAAGACCAAAAACATTTGGCTGCCAATGTATTTGTATTACATTTTACCATCCAATATCACTCGTAAAACAAAGGGGGAAAACAGATATGTTGGAAATACACAATTGATAAAAAAAAGACATGGAAAACAGAAAATAATGGAAACGCAACTCAAATTCATGTTTCATCCGATGAAGTATAATAATCCTGCCCTCTTCTCAACAACCAAACAAGTCCTAGACACAGGAAATAAAGTAAAGATGGAACAAAATTAGGGTTAAGTCGCTTACATCCTGAGAAGAGATCTTCAACCAACTGGGTGGAGTCCTTTTGTACGGCAAAGCAGACGCAGAAATACCCTTATTGAAGAACAAACAAATCAAAACAGCAGGTAAAGATGGTTTCACAGGGATGAATTCCAAAGAAGAAGTAACGTGAAAGAACAAACCCTCGACTGTGCATACGACCCATGGCGGCGGAGTATTGAACCTTGCTACTTTGCTAGGTCTCGTAGCTCCAACGCCAAGGGAGATGCCAAAGTTGCCTCTGCCATGAAGCCAAGCTCTTCGACGCCGATGATGATGATGATGAAGAACTTGGCTGCCTAGAAGATCCTAGTCCCTACAACGCCAAGGGAGATGCTTTGATCGGCATGATGCCTCAGCTTCCTGATGGGTTTGACGAGGTTGTGGTTGGCGGTGTTTCGGAGCTGGAAGCATCTGGAAAGTGTGTTGTGGGGAAGGGTGGCCCTGAGGATGTGGCCGTTGCTAGGGACAAGGTGGTGACTAGAGGTGATGTTGTGGATGCAGACAAGGGCGAGGGGGCGGACTGCTTGGATGGGAACCAAAGCACTTAGGTTTTTGAGTTTTATCAAAATCAATTACAGATTTTGTAGATTTGGGAGAGGGGCGAAACACCTAGGTCTACCTAGGGAGGGAAGCTCGGGATTAAGGGAGAAAAAATTGGGAATTTATGGAGGGAAGTGAAAATTTCTACTGTCGACTGAATGAGTCTTTGAGTTTTATCAAAATCAAATACAAATTGTGGAGATTTGGGAGAGGGAAGCTAGGGATTTCGGGAGGGAAATTTGGGAATTTGTGAAGGGAAGTGAAAATTTCTACCGCCGGCTGAATGGGTCTTTGAGTTTTATCAAAAAATCAAATACAAATTGTGGAGATTTGGGAGAGGGAAGCTAGGGATTTCGAGAGGGAGATTTGGGAATACAGGGAGGGAAGTGAAATGATTGTTGCAGTGCGATCGGCTAAAATTAAAAAGCGTTTTAGATACAATGAATTATACTGACAAAATACAGTAATCCGTTTGTATAGATATATACTATGCAAACGGATAATAAATGAACCGTTTGTACAAACCTATTCTATACTAACTGTTATATTTTTCCGTTGGTATAGAATAATGTATACTGACTGCTCCAATTTTCTGTTGGTATATATGGTATTATACAGACAGATTTTTGTCCATTGGTATAGCCTTTCGTTGGTATAAGGCACTTTGTTTGTAGTGGTAACTGCAGAAAGTGGGGAGTTACTGCCGGCAAGAGGAGAACAAAAAGGAAATTTTGGAAAGGAGAACACACGATTAGCCCTACACACAACCTGCAAATTTTCAAACTTTCAATTTCTCTGCAATTGCTCACTATTGCTTACAGATTTCGAATTTCAACACAAATCCCAATAGATTTAGGTTGTTTTTCATCATTCCAGTAGACAAATTAGTTCATGTATTCGCTTCAACAATTTCGTTTCATGTAATGAACTTCAATCTTTCAAATTTCTTCAAGGTATTGTTTATTTTCTGTCTGCAATTAATTTAATGTTTATGATAAGTAGCATTTCTTCAATAATTACTTATATGGCATTCACGCTTCTTCTCAACTTCAAGCATGTTAGTTTAATTCCTGTTCATGTTTGTTTTAGTTTTAATTAGGGTAAAATCTCCAATTCTGCTGTAATTTAATTTCCAGATCTGTCAGTAGATAGCATTTTAATTGGACAATGAACATGTTTAATTTAATTTGAGTACATCTCATTCTTGTAAATTTACTTTAAATTGCCTGCTATTTAGTTTAATTAGGATTTGTAAACTTTAATTCACGGTAGTGTTTAAATCCTTGGAATGGTCAAAGGTAGATTTCGTAACCCATTCTGCAAGAAAGTATCCCTCCCTCTTGCAAATCATCTGTAGGTGTAGATTTCAATTGTAATCCAACATTCTTTCCACCATCCACAAGGAGGTCGACCATGAGAAAGGAGAGGGTTGTTGGAAAAATCCTTCTTTCTTACTTTCAACAAAGCAAGTGGCACACCCGCAACCAAATTTCATACGTGTGAGGCCACTAGGGGATTTTGGGGGAAACAGTTAAACCATGGGTTCTAGACATAGTCTTAAAAATTTGATTGGATTGATTAGTTAAATCGGTCAAACCAACATCGAATAACTTAAACAGATCTGGTGAATACTTAAAACTATTATGAAGGTTGAACCACTCATAACCAATAAAACTGTTTGAACTAGTACAAACCATTAAACCATTAAACCATTCATAACCAATGGGGTATGTATTTGCGAGACTACCACTCTCAGGGGATTGGATCCTGTGTAAACGAGAATTGTAAAAAGATACAGAGGGTTGGTTTGCTTACCTTTTACTTGGAAGATATTTTTGTAGAAGTTATAGACAAAAATGGTATGAGTTTAACTCAGAAAAATAATTTTTTTAGCATAAAAATTAATGGCATAATATAATTAATTATACTTTTTTGTAATTGATTATAATACTTTAAATGTAAAATAATCAAATAAATAAAAAGATAATTGATTATGCATTTGAATTGAAATTTTTTGAGGTTTTTTTAAGTTTGTGTCCATGATTCAAGCCGACTAGAAAAAAAAAATGATGGCTTCCTCGGAAATGCTTTCAAGGTAGAAGCCTAGAGGTAACCAAATAAGCGCAAAAGAGGACTTAACTGCTTGAATTGGAAAACATAAAGACTAAATTGAAAAAAGAAAAAGAAAAAGAAAAAGAAAAGACCCAAGTCTGGGCTCAAATTTGAGGCCGAGTTAAGCTTACCCATAAACTAAATCAACGTAACAAACCCAACCTCAATGTCTAGAGCCCGATCAACGGCAAACTCAGAATGTCAAGGGTTCAAGGCAATATGAGATGGGCCAAAACACAAATCCCTGAGCCCGTAAACGACCCAACCTTTGTTTCCTTTCCCTCTCCACCGATCCACGAGACCCAATTTTCGCAGCCGCACACGCCTTTCCACCTCTTTTCTACCCTCATATCCGAATTTAGCCACCCTCCACCACTCTAATCCACTTTTCATCTAACTGAAAAAATAATAATAATAATAATAATAATAATAATATAATTATATGAGACAAATACATATCAATTTTAATTTTAAAAAATAATTAAAATTTTAATTTTAAATTATATCATTTTATTTAATTAAAATTTAATTTAAAATTTAAAAATTTATCGTATTAAATATTACTATTTATATTTATAAACTGATTGAATTTTTAAATTTTTAATTGAAGTTTCAGTTTTTATATATAAATTAACACTTTAATATTTTAAAAAAATCAGAACTAATATGTAGTAATTTTTAATTATAATATC